GCAAAAGCGCCTGCCTGGCAAGCGCAAGGTCGTGAGTTCGGTTCCGGTACCAGAGAAAACCCCCCCCAAAAAAATAAATAAAATAAAAAAAAATAAAAACAAGTTGCTTTAATGTAAACAACACATAAAATGTGGACATGAGCTGCTTTTAAGAATTAATTAGAAAAGGCTATTTTATCTTCAGTTATGAGTTTTAATATTTATGACCATATTTCTCTCCTGTTTATTATGCTAGACTACAAGGGTACTCAAAGCACCAAGTAATACAGTAATATAACAAATATCTTTATACTGATGGCAAGATTCCTTTAACAGGGGTAGATTATATTTCATGTAAATGAAGTTTTTTTTTTCTGCTTTCAAACAATCACTTAATGAGCTAATGCTAACTATGATCCTATTTTTAAACACTGTCACATATCAAAGTAGTAGTTTCATTACTAATTAGTGTTTACTTTTCCATTTAAATGCTCTGTTCCACAAAATCCCTATATAAATAATTATGTTGTATTTTAACTAGATTGTATATTTGGGTACAATAATACTAAATGTTGTGGGAATATTTTCATGTCTATATCTACTTATTTTTTAAAATTGTATCTACTTATAAACATCTGGTTCAGACTAAAAAGTATGCCTTAAAAGTAAAGTTAGGACTAGAAAGTGAAACCTGTTAAATAAAGCTGTAAGAAGTATGACTTTTTTAATAACAACAAACCTTTAATGAAACATTTTTGCCAAATGTCACATCTCCTGAAACCGTGAGGTGATCCAATTCAAGCATATCTGGTATACTTTCAAATCTTCTTAGATAATCTTGAACCTTAAATAGAAACATAAAAATTGTTTTAAAAATAAATTCATAGAAAAACAGGAATAATATTAACAAGATAATTTAACTGACCTAAAACATTTTATGGCCAACTTCATGTCTACGGGAAGAACCTATTTATTAAATTAAGCAGTTACTATATAGAAGATCTTGTGCAGGAGAAACCATGAAATATGAACACTGTCCATATCATCAATAGATTTACTATATAGTTAAGAAAACCAGACAGCTTTTAAGAATAGATAATCTAGCCAGGGCAGTGGTACACACCTGTAATCCCGGCACTAGAGAAGCAGAGGCAGAAGGACTGTAAATAAGTTCAAAGCCTGCCTGGGCAACTTAGCAAGACCTGTCTCAAAAGCAGGCTGGAGACACAGCTCAGTGGTAGATCACCCCTGCGTTCAATCCCTTGTACGGTACCAAAAAAAGGTAATCAGCTATCATGTTACGAACCAGATACATAGTTAGAAAAGAAGGAAAAAATTATCATGGGTTGAAGTAGGCAAGACTAACGCTGGCCTTTATGTGCAAATTACCACTACTTTTTCTTTTTACTTCCTTACATTTAGAAGTGCCAGAGATTGTCCTATATGACCTTGTTTCCTATTTTGCTGGGCAAAAACAAATTCAAAAAATTTCACTGCCTTTGACCTCTACCCTTCCAGCCATTATCATCCTTCCTGATATTGGTGCTGGAGAGGTTCTCTTCCACCCTCCCACTTGTGCACTGGATCCCTCCTTCCTGCCCACTCAACAATACCAGGGAGTCTCTCCTGCTTCAATGTTTTTTCCTTTCTGACTGCATCAATTCCCATCAGCATGTATGTAAATTCCCTTACATTTAAAAAACAAAGCTTCCCACATCATGATTTTTCTACCCAAATCCTCTTCTGCACTCTACATCTGAAGACACTAAATCAAATTCAGGACTAGAATAGACTTCAATGGCATAGCAGGAACCCACAGGACTGCTGTCCTATCATTTTATTAACCCCACATTTTATGTGATTAAATTTTTGGGATTTCACTTAGCATGTTATGGTGGGATTTTGCTAAACTAGCCTGGAAGGCTTTTCGCCTTAGACATGTATGGCATACTCATTCAACTCCTTAGGCGGTCTATGCCACCCATTGTAAAATTATACCACTACCCCATTCAGACATTTCCTATTATCCCTCCTAACTTTATTTTTCTACACAGATCTTTTACTACTTGGAAAAATACATATTTATTTGTTTATTTTCCTTCCTCTACAGAGTATCAGTGCTGTGAAGACAAGGATTTTAGTCTGTTTTGTTTACTGTTAAATCCCCACACCTAGAACATTGCCCAGCATGTGGTAAGGGCTCAATACATGTCTATAAAGAATTAACCTTTTCCCACTGATGAAAGCAGTACTGGTTTGGAAGAAAGATGAAATAAAACGTCCCCACATTTAAACATTCTTTTGAACTCCATACCAATCAGGTTTCACAAGTAAGGCACATCTTTGTCTTCTCTCAATTCCTTTAAATGACAATCAAATGTGGAAAAAGATAGTTCATTAGTGGAAACTAACCTATTCATGTACATCTTTATAATGACTATAGTTACATACCTTTGTAAATGAACTGCCTAATTTAACCAAGGGCACTGTAGGAAATTCCCGCTTTTCACTCATCGTCAGAGATCCTGCATTAAGGCTATAGAGGTTTGACATCACAAGCAAGAGATCTGATGTGGTTTTTACAGGAAGAAAACGGCTTCTTGGAACATTAATACCTAAGGAATTCTCAAAACTTTTAATCGCAGCCCCAACTGCAGTTTCTAACTGAATGACATTCAGGCCTCCATCCAAAGTCTAAAAGAAACCAAAGGGGGAACAGAGGAGAAATAGGTTTTAGGTCCTAAAACTCACAATTAAATAAATAAATAAATATATATATATATTAAAAAAATAAAAAAAACTCACAATTTAGTTCCATGTGTGCTAGTTAATATTTGAGAAGTAGTTTCAGAGAACGAACCATAGAAGGAAATATAGCTTTGAGAACTGATATGAAGCATATACCTACCACACCTTAAGTTATTTTCATTTTGCAATGAAGAACCACAGGTTCAAGAAACTCATACAAGGTGCCCATGGCCAAATGGTGTATGAGTGTCAAAGCAATAATTAAGACTGTGGTAGGCCCTCCACTTTTGAGCCCAGTGCTCTTTCGATTACTACAGCACTGGGTCAGATGGACATTACTGAGATGAGTGCCGATTAGAGACAGGGCCAGGAACTGCAGAGAGAGCCTGAGCAGGCAAAAGGAGTGACTGACAGAACACACAGGCCCGTGGGGTCAGTGTGTAATCTACTCTGATCTTAGGAAGTATGAAGCCCAGTGAGCTGCAGCGCTGGCTAACCTTTGGATTCACGATGATTTCCATGTCAATGGCATTCTGTTCCTGCAGTCTTTTAACTGCTGCAAGAGAAATCCATAGGTTGTTTGTGTTAAATATTTTAAATTTTGATACAGACTTGAACTCATCAACGTGTGCTTTCGGCACTTGAGCGATTTCCACCAGTCTCAGTTTGCCTTCATACTGAGTGAGTGTCCCGCCCTAGAAAGGTAGAAAATAATGAGTGCTTCTACATCCTTTCTGATTACAACCATAACACACTGCTTATGAATCTTACAGAACAGACTCTGATACAGTCTCCCAGTATACAAAGAAATCTGTGCTAGAAAGTAAGACCTAAGAAATTTGCTCAGGTCATCATTTTACCATGTATATCCACCATCTTTTCCATAATTAAAGGCTTGGAAGTACATCAGAGTCTTCCTTTCTTTCCTAAGGTCTGCCACAGGAACAGCCATTCCTTAGTTCCAACCACTGCCTACCACCCAACAGCTACACCTACCACCCAGGCCCTCAGAATGGCTCCGTGACAAGTGGAGAAAAGCGACTGATGCACAAGTGTGTAAGAAGTGGCCTCAGGCTAGAAATGTTCTTTCACTAGGCCATGCGAGTGCAGAAAAAGGAGGACATCTCCAAGAACATGGGATCCAAGCCAGACTGTTTTAGTATTTGCACACTGCTTACTTTTCTTACTTGCTGTAGAAAAGCAGTAAACTCCTATGTCGTTTCATCAAGTATCACAACTAACAAACATGCCAGATAAAATAAATTTGTACTTTGTACCAAAATATAACTACATATTTTTGCAAGTACTACAAAGATAATACAGTAACAAAACAAAATTATATAAAAATATTCTGTGGAAAATAGTTTTCATAAAAGGCACCATAAAAAAAATCTAGAAGATTAAAGATTTGAATAAACTTATTGAAAATGTTTTCACGTGCTTCAGATTTCTGAATATATGTAGAAATGTTTTCAATTAAACTTACTGATATAGATTATCCAAAAACTAAAAATGAGTTTAGTACTATTAACTCTGGATTTGTGAGACAGAACTGTTAGAACTTAAGGTTCTCCACACAGTATTACCTCACTCTCATCTAACAAATGATATTAAGTGGATTAATGTGTTCTGCTTAAAATAGAAACTTTCATATTAGAAGAAAATATAACCTATGAAATGTGAAAACATGAATCCTTAAATTGCTTCCTCTCAGTATTTACCTTCACATCTGCACGTGTTTTATTTGTGACTTCCATGACAAATTCACAGCGTTTCCCATTGGGTGGGTTCATTAGATGATTAAGAATATAAAGATCCACTGTGGCACCCAGATTATCAATGTTAGACACAAAAATATATTCTTTGCCTTCTCCTATAAAGGTGTCAAGCAAACCAGAGTTGTAGAAACTGGCGTAGATATCACCATGACCTGGAGGGTACCAAGCTTCTGTGTTTTCCCCTGAGTAAGATACATCCTTTGCTACAGGAAGTAAAGATTCTTTATTAATCCTTGGGTACCTATAAAAAAAAAAAGTTCTTTTGCAATATCTACTCTGAGCATTTCCAGACTTTCAAGAAAAAAATTCATTAAAGTTAAATGTCCCTTTTCCAAGTCTATTAATAATAATTAAATTATAGGGTAATCCATTTAAGAAAACCATTATCTGTGTTACCTAAAATCTGTTTCCTACCTAGAATTAGTTGCTGAAAAAAAAATTCCATATTCATACAGATGCGAAGACACCTCCTATTTTAAAGATACTAAGATTCTATGACTTTTCAAGAGGAGGGAAATACAAAGTAAACCTTGTCAAACTTATTTGGTTCTGGGATGACTCTTTCCCCAAAAAAACCTATCTGGGGAAGCTACCCATTCCTATAAGCGTACTATATTCCAGGGTGGTTCTAATCCCCAGAAACTGAACAGCAGGCTCATACCCCAGATGTCTGCTTCCCATCATCAGTGAGAACACAGGTAGTTATGGAAAAAGAAAACAAGACTGCACATCAGACCGAAGACCAACTATAACACAGAGGCAACCATCTGTGATGGAGAAAAGTGTCCACGGGAAAACAGATTTTAAAAAACTAACAGTCCGGCTTTAAACATATCTTTTCTCCACAAGTTTCCTTACATGGAAACCTTACTCCTCCAGTTGCCTGGGCTTTATCATAATTCATCTTCTCACTCTTGGCTACTCATTTCACCTTCCCCCAAAGTAAATTATTTTCTCGACAATTATTTACCCCAGGCTTATTCAAGATAAGGAAATTCCTATCCTAAGGAAAAGTTACAACACTGTAGAATGCAGAAAGACTTTCACAGACCCACCTGGAGACCAAATATGCTGCCAGAAAACAAAGGCCTAATTATCCACAAATATTCTTGACACAGAACAGACTCTCAAGCAGATCCTTTTTTAAGAATTGGAAATTATAGGACCAAAACTGATTATAATAATCAGACACCTATGAAAAAATATTCAGCTTTTAAAAGGCGTCAGGCACTTGCAAGCATTGATCACAGGTGCATCCTGAAGCTGCTTTGTTATAAACGAGGCAAAGAAGTCCTTTCCTAGGAGTTGCACCCCTACAATTTATATTTTCACTCCTTGTACCTGCTTTGATTGAAAGTGTAGATTTTCACACGACAGTGATTGTACTTCTGTAGTATTTTTTTGGTATCTTCATCCGTGTTAAAAGAGTTCATTAAAACAAGAGGAACATCTGTATTGTAGGTTTTGTTCAAATGCTAGGGAGGAAAATGACAGATTATCCACATTTACATTTCCTTTGAGTACAGACATAGAGATATACATATTTGCCATAAATAAGCAATTCACCATGTACTCAATAAATCATAACCCTTTGAGATGGAAACTACTGTCAGTACTTTCTGATCGACTGAACTGAGACCCAGCTTGGTTCCCCAGGGAAGCTGGACTGTGGTGCTGTGTGCACAGCCACCGTACTCTGCACGTTATGGGGAAGTCTGACAGTGCTGATTAAGCGCTTGTTCTGTGTTCCCAGCTCTGTTAGAGACAAGTACAAATTTTACAGACACGGCCCCCTATTCTCAGGAAAAATGAAAAATTCTGAATCACACTTCAACTTTTCAGTCTCTCAAAAGAGCTTAAAGGTAAAACAGTGGGAAAAACAACTTAGAAAGTCAGACCATTCTATATTCAAACTTTGATTCTGGATTTATTAACTTGCTAGGGAGCCTTGGGAAAATAATGTCATTGTGCCTTAGCTTTTCTCATCTGTAAAATGGGGAAGATTACAGTACTTCTCTCATTGAATTGGTGAGAACAAATGAGGCAGTTCATGGCAAGAGTGGAGTACATGGTACACAGTAAGTACTGGACAAATGTTAGCTGCTGTCGCCAGTGTAAAGACTATAGCTGCCAGCAACGTACTAAACAACAGGGATACAGAGATGGGAAAGACAAGGCCACTGACTCTGAACAGCTTACAGTTCACTCTGTCTGTGATTAATGAATGTCATAAAAGGGAAGTCAAATACAATTCATGGAAGCCAACTGAATATATGGCATTCTTTTCAGCTTTCCGAAAAGGGTTAAAGTCAGACTGGCCCAACCATCAAGAAGGCTGCCACTAGAAATAAAGGGAGCGGAGAGGGGCTGATCAAAGGAGAATCTGAACTGATCCAGAGATTTCAGCAGCCATAAATGCTATTTAAGATGAAAAGCTTTTACACCACCCCAATGATGTGCTCTTAAATCTTTTCCTTTGCCAATGAAGAAACTAATGATAGCAAGCTCTTTAATTAGCTCACATGCCATATGCTACATTTAATAATATAACATTCATGATAACCTAAAAATTATTTCAGTATCTCATCAGAAAGGCTACATATTACTCACTTCAATTTGTTGAACAGTCAGATCCAAAAAGGTATTCTCATTCCTCACACCAATCAGACTTTTAGGACCTTTGCAGCCCATGCTGGTTCCCAAACCACCATTGAGTTTTACCACCACTAACTTGTTCAGCACAGAAGATATATTATCAGGCAAGCCTCTGGCCTTTATCTTCTCATATGGTTGAATCTGAAAGGAAAAATAAAATTATACCAGTAACTGAACTAGCTTTATGAGAAATTAAGGCAAGTCTCTCCCAAGATCATTTCCATGCTTCTTTAAAGAATTTTGGTTTCTTGGCCCCTGGCCAGAGTCTCCAGTCAGGGTCACAGGGATGCCACTAAGACTGCTTCCTGGACCTTTGCTGACCATGCTGTCCCAGGCGGTACTTTCTGTCACCATTACAGTGGCCCCCTGTCTGAAGAACGAGGCCCTCCCAGGACCAGGGCTATTGCAGGCAACAAGAATCTTTCACACAGGGCAGTCAAGACTTGCTCCTCTACCACCTCTTCTGGAATATGGTGGAAAAGTTCATCTTGGGCTGATTCGTGAGGAATTCTTCCAGTTCCTCTGTCCTAAAATTGGTGTAACAGGAGCCTACATGCTTGGAACTGGGCTTATCTTGTATTTTCTGTCCAAAGCAATATATGTGATTACCCTAGAGATCTTCTCTACCATATCTGTAGTAGGGCTACTTGTCTATGTACTTAAACAATATGATGCCTCTTTTGGAGAATTTGTTGATAAACTCAATGAACAAAATATTGTCCAACTAGAAGAGGCAGAACAAGCTTCCATGAAACAAATCCAGGATGCAACTGAATTGGAGAAGTCCCCAGCAGGCACTTCTGAAGAAGTGCCACCACGTTTTTGATGTCCAGAAGAATAATATTTCTATGGCCTTGGAGGTTACTCACTGGGAATGGCTATACAGAGTATATAAGGAAGTAAAGAATCACCCAGACTGTCCTATCTCTGTGCAGAATATGATACATCCAAAGGAACAAGAGTACTGGGTGGAGAAGCAAGTGGTGCAGAGCATCTTTGCACAGCGGGAAAAGGAGACAATTGGAAAGTTCCTTGCAAAGAAGGCTCAGGTACAGCCCATTATGTAAATGCACCTATCCCAGTTGAGACAGCCGAAACAGTTGACTAAGTGGAAACTAGTCTATGTAAGAAAACTTCCCAGATTGCTATCTATCTACCGAAATTACGGTTTACTTTTCCTAAAAAAGAAAAGCGTGGGGTTTTATTTAGTGAGAACTAAATCTATTGGCCAGTCAGATGTTTCTCATCCTTATTCTGCATTTTGAGTTGTTCTGTGATTACTTTTGAATAAATGTCTGTTTTTATTAAAATTTATTACCTGACTAAAGATTACCAAGTTATAGGTTAAATTTGTAATTAGTTCTATGATCTTGCAATAAAGGACAACTGAAACAAATAAAAATAATTTTGGTTCCTTTCTGGAAAGTTTCAACTACATTTCCTTTAATGTTGCAGGCCTTTCTAAGTTCAAAAGCAAGAACTTACAGGCAACTTCTCTTGCACACAGTTATAGTTCAGTGGGTCTTCTGTATTATAATGGGGTACAAGGAGAAAGTTGTAGTCTATACATATTTGGCTGGTAGGAACATCCCAGTTTCCTGGACTATCTCCGAAAACTTAGGATTTCCAATATGCATCTACATACCAAATGAGATACACAAGCCTCATCAAGTCTAAATACTTCTGGTGCAGCTGCTTCAATTCTGGCGAGGAATATATATCATCATACATTTTTGTTCCTATTACAGGAAGCAAAAATCAAAACAGTTGTTCTTTGTCATGCTCCTCCATTCAATCCTAAATTCACCCTTTATAAGTGGGTGGTACAGTTCTCAGTTGCACTTATAAGAATTTTAAGGACCGAATTCTTTCCCCAAGAATTTAACTCTCAGGTGTCACTGTATAAAAAGCTCATAGTGGAAAATTAAGTGTTCTCACTGTGCCAAGAAACGCCCTGGGAGGGAGGATGAGAGCAAGGGCATGGGCTTGAGACAAATCCCAACTAAATCTCCTTCCTAGCACCCTCATCTATTTCTGTAAGCAGAGAGCCTTACTCTTCAGCTTCTCTTTTCTAAGAAAAGAATAATGGCACTTAGAGCAGAGACGCAAGTTTTTTGTTCAAAGCAGAGGCACAAACAAGCCTCAGCATCTTATAGCAAGAATGAAAGCTTTTAAACAGATCACAATGTATTTTCTACCCACTTACGTGACATTTTTGCTTCAAAGAGATAAATCATCAAATGGACTCGTTAGTTACATCAGTATAGGACAGATGACACATGAGTGGACTGAAAGAATAAAGCCAAACAGTAGGTGCTCTCTGATCATGAGTGTTTGTTTGTTCTGCTACCCTCAGGAGCATGTGGGGGGAGGGGGAGAAAGAGAGAGGGAGGAGACGAGGATGAGATGGGTGATGTTTGTGATGGACTCACACCCCAGTGATCTAGGCCTGTGGAAGCAAAAATCTTTATGTTTGGTCAAACATATATACGTAGGATATATAGATTCTGACCACATAAAACTTGCTGTTAACAGCTCCTTCCATAAAATGTTACTCTGTAACTCTTCTTTCTTCTACCCTACAATATACTATATTAACTACCAAATGTGGACTAATACACTTTCTTACTTAGAATAAACACTGAGAAACACAAAGCATTCTTCTCCAAGGCTTTCCACTGGTTGTCCCTGTCCCCATTTTCAGTCCTAACGTGAGATTATAAATAAACTGAGTCATATTCTAAAGTAGGCACAATGTCAGCAACAAAAACAAGTCAGATTACTGGCATGTGTTGTCTATATTTAAATATTCTGTTGGAAACAGAGGTAAATATTACCTCAAGGTTACCTGAAGTAAAATTGCATATACATCTTATCAGTATGATGAAGTACGAATGCTCATTACTAGAGTGAAAACATTATAATTAATGAGTCTGAAAGTTATTAATTTTATGTACAGTAATGAATGTTTTCAAATATTTTAGTTAAACTGGGAACACAATGACAGTAAACAAAAATTCAGTATATACATTAGATATTTCAGTTTTGAGTTAACTATTTATACATATTGAAACAATAATGTCAAGTAGAACCATCTGAATTGGATTACATCTTAATTCTAACCTTTAAGGGACTGTTTGGTATACCAATATTCACAGCATTAAGAAGTGCTTTAGGACCCATGTTTAGTCGTTACCTCTTCAAGACAAAGTATCAGTAAGACATCTTTACTTCCTAAGAAAATGAATTAAAAACTAAATGTCAAGATCATTGCCTTAAAATTTTACTGAGAGGAAAGAACTTCAAAATCATCTATATTCATAAGGCTTCTTTGATCTACATACCATAAAGAATACAAAGCTTATGAAGTAACATAGAGACAAAGGGTTACCTAAGTACATTTTGTTTTCAGTAATCAAGTTTCAAAACATGCATTTATTACAATGCTTTAAAAAGACAATTCCTAGCTAGGCATGATGGCACATGCCTGTAATCCTAGCACCCAGGAGGCTGAGGCAGGAGGAGTACTGTGAGTTTGAGTCCAGCCTGATCTACACAGTGAAACCCTGTCTCAGGAAAAAAAAAAAAAAAAAAAAAAAAGACAATTCCTTATAAATGAGTCTGGTGGTTAAACATAATGAAAATCATACAAAAGTGTTTCCTATAGACCCCTAACCTTTGTTAAGTACTTGAAAATAAGATTCTTAATGTTACTCAAGTTCTGAGTCCTTGGTACAAGGCTCCTTGTAGAAATATTCCTGAAAAGCTCTATTCTACTGCAAAAACTTAAATGTGCTTCTTTCCCTCCCTGTGTTTACTCAGGCAGTCACAATCAGAACAACTTTTTAAGTTTGAAAGCATCATACACTCATGAATTCAACTCTGCTAAAAATATAGTATCTGATTGAAAAATGTAAAATGGAAGAGTGTTATGCAATTGTGAGTGACAAATACTGTTAGAAAATTATTTAGAAGTCAGCAACATTCAGTATTTCTTTTTTTTTTTTTTGGTTTTTCTCCGGTACCAGGAACCGAACTCACGACCTTGCGCTTGCCAGGCAGGCGCTTTTGCCGCTGAGCTAAATCCCCAGCCCCAACATTCAGTATTTCATTCAGATTTCTCAACTACTTGCTATGAGCTGAGAGACAATGAGCAACTGTCTTCACTCTACCTCAAAGACCAGCCACCAGGGAACATTTACTTACATGAAATGTTCACATAAGACATTCGTGCACTGCTATGTTTTACGCAAGCTGTCTGAACAGAAAGATAGGTCCAAAATTACACTTTGGAAGAAACTAATGCTGACTTACTAACAACCAGTGCTGGCTTATTAGTTGATGTATGTATAAACCAACTAAAAACCAATTCACATGCCCTAACTACGTAAAGACTTCTTACAAGATAGAGGTGTGAAGACTCCCCCCTCACTCTGCTCTAGGGAAGATACTGAAATCAGTGTTTATGCAGTGAAAGCCAAAATACAGATGAAACTTCACAGTCAAACCTATTGTCTCAAGAGCCATTACTCCATTTCTGGAGAGAGTCAAATTTCTACATCCAAAAATCTAAGATCTTGAGTGACTGTGTGAAGCAACAAATGTGTGCATTAGTATTTTTAAAAACACAAAATAAGGCAATAGTAAATGGGAGATACTTATAATAAATCATCTGCGAGCATCACTAAACTTAAGGAAATGGTATCACTGCCATTAATATAACTTCCAAGTTCAGAATATTGAAAGCACAGCCAGGCGTGGTGGCACATGCCTGTAGTCCCAGCTGCTCGGGAGGCCGAGGTGGGAGGATCACCTGAGTCCAGGAGTTCGGGGCTGCAGAGCACTACGTTGATCAGGTGTCCACACGAAGTTCGACATCAACATGGTGACCTCCTAGGAGAGGACAAGCTTTCCCTTCAGTCAGTTACTATTAGAGAGGAAGGAAACAACGCCACAGCAGCTACATCACAATCAGTAGTACATTCAATACTAGCAAAAACAGCTGGAAAATATCTTGCCATTTCACCATCCTTTGTTGACTCAAGTCTATGTGGAAATGCAGATGTGCTTAGTGACTACCACAGCACTACCATAGCATATGACTACCATGGCATATGACTATGGTGAGGGATTACTGTTCC